AAAAAAAGATAGCTAGTGGGAAGCAGCTGCATAGCACAGGGAGATCAGCTCAGTGCTTTGTGACCACTTAGAGAGGTGGGACAGGGAAGGTGGGAGGGAGACGCAAGAAGGAAGAGATATGGGGATATATGTATATGTATAGCTGATTCACTTTGTTATGTTATAAAGCAGAAACTAACACACCATTGTAAAGCAATTATACTCTAATAAAGGTGTTAAAAAAATGACATAAAATTCAAAACAAAAATCCAAAGAATTATATGCTGTTCTGCCATCAAAACACTGAAAATTAAAGCTGGGAATGTCTTAAAAAAAAAAAGACTGGGAGTGTCTTAAGCAACCAGGGAGATCCTTCTACCCAGTACTCATTATAAATAATAGTTACCTACCATTTCTTAAACACTTCCTCTGTATCAACGCACTACACTAAGGTGCTTTCAAGACATTCTTTGATTTAATCTTTTTTTTTGGCCGCAAGGCATGCGGGATCTTAGTTCCTTAACAAGGGATTGAACCCGTGCCCCCTGCAGTGGAAGCGCAGAGTCCTAACCACTGCACTGCCAAGGAATTCCCTGATTTAATCTTCAGAAGAGCCCTATGATTTAAGTATCACAATCCCCATTTTACAGATAAGGAAACCTCAATCTCTGATTGCAAAGCCCATGAGGATTCCAAAAACTGTTGTTACATCACCACATCCCCAGGAGACCTGGAGTACACTGTTTTGAAGCCTCCTCCACCCGCCCCCCATACAGAAACATAAAATCAAGAAAGACCCAAAAGCACCTAAATGCACACAAGACCTGGGGCAGTCCGAAGGGCCCATTAGATATGCATCATCCTCACTGGCCCTCACTCAGCACCATTCCAAAGGCTTGCTGTAGTATAATACAGCCAAGGCCTTCAGCATCAAGTACCATTCTGAAAGACATTTGGCAGTGTTTATTCTTCTTATAAGTTGTGGTAGAAGTAGTAATAATAATTTTTTTAATAACAGAAAATTGTATTGTGTATTCTCTAGGTGCCAGGTAGGGCCCTAAATTCCTAACATAGATTCATTTCATCCTCACAATCCTGTGAGGCAGATAATGATTTACCAGTTTTTCACTGGTATTTTTGCCATCTTTTCACAAATGAGAAATTATTACTTAACTTTTTGGCATGCAAATGTACCACTTTTAGAATCAGAGAAAAAATTTGTAAGTTATGCTGGCTTTGAAAGAGTGATGTAAAGACAAAAGAAGAAGTAGAGGAAAGGAGAAAAGAGAGAAAAAGGAAAAAAAGAATGTCGATTCCATTTTTTTCACAAACGAGAAAACTGATGTGGACAGAACTGAGGCAACTTTCCTAAGGTCCTGAGATGTGAACTCAGTCAGCCAGGTCCTAACACTCAAACCCAAACCTTTATGGTGCCATCTTTAGGATGGAGCAGCCATCAAGAGTTACTGGCAGGGCTTCCCTGGTGGCGCAGTCGTTGAGAGTCCGCCTGCAGATGCAGGGGACGCGGGTTCGCGCCCCGGTCCTGGAAGATCCCACATGCCGCGGAGCAGCTGGGCCCGTGGGCCATGGCCGCTGAGCCTGCGCATCCAGAGCCTGTGCTCTGCAACGTTCCACTGCATGGGGCACAGGTTCGATCCCTAGTCCGGGAAGGTCTTCTGCATGCCGTGCAGTGTGAAAAAAAAAAAAAAAAAAAGAGTTACTGGCATACACTCAGGATAAAATTATAGTCTACAGAGAGGGATGATGTTTAAAAGTTTCTAGCAATTATTTTGGACTCTAGCTTTAAAAACAGACACTAAGCATAAAATAGAGTGAAACTGAGTATGGCACTTTGCAGCAAGCCTAAAATCTGAACTACAATCCAAATCTCCTTTTATCATTTGCCTTCTCCTTTCAACCATTACATTAAGGAAAAAAAATTCAGGTTGCCTACATTCTCAATCATTATGATACTGCACAAAATGTCCATTTCTTAACTGTCCCATGATTCACATTTTTCCCATTGCTAACATTAGAACACCTCCCACGTTTTCTAATAAAATAAAAAGATCATTCTGAACTCTTCCAAACGAATTATACAACAAGATACATAAGCAAAAGACAGAAAACAAAAATTACATTTAGGCTTAAAGTAAATTTCATGTTAAGTTCAGAAGACTCCCTTTCCCTCAAAATATCACATAGAAACTTTTCTTTTTTTAATTTAACTTCTTGGGATCATCTCTTCAGAGACTGCATAAAACAAAATAGTTTTTCAACCAAACTTTGAAGTTATCAAATAACTGAAAAGTGATCAATATAAACAAACAAGAATTTGAAGTCACCTATATTAAACATTCACAGTTTAAGACAACACTAGGCAAGAGTAAAAGTAAACAAACAACAGAAACTTGCTCCCTTGTAGGTAGGAATCCCTTGGCCAGTGGAGCAATGCAAACAGACTTGCTCCCCCATATCAAGGCGATAATGATGACATCTTTAAGGAGGACATGAGATCAGCCATGTAAAGTGCTCAGCCCACATGCCTGGCACATAGTAAGTATTCAACATTAGCTTGTATTAAATGCTCATCCCATCAATACAAGGTTACTTATCAGCTCTGCACCTCAATCACCTCATCTACAAAATAGAGATAATAGTAGTTCCAACATCATAGGATTGTTAGGACAGAAAATGTAGTAAAGCACTTAGAACAACAATGTTAGTTACCAATATTATTCTTAGCACCCTCAAAAAAGAAGCTGAGAGGCTTACAGGGCTGGGGTCTGAACCCAGTAGCTCCAAAGTAGCTAGCATCTCATTTCCTCAAACGCAAAGCTGGAGCTGACGCTTAGGGAGATTTACCCGGCTGCCAGCTCTCTTCCCACTGCACAAGGAAGAAGGGGACAAGGAACCTGTGGAAGGTTGTTCCCAAAGGACAAGGAACCTACGGGCTCCCTTCTTCCTGGCAGCTCCACCTGCTCCAGCAATGTGCAGCTCCAGCATCCTTAGCCCCATCACCCAAACCTCACATCTAACCAGAAAGTTATTCCCCTTTGCATTTCTGTTTGCCGAATTTTTCCAAAAGGATTTTGTTGGGGGGTGTTTTGTAACTATATAAACAAACAACAACAACAACGGCAACGGCTCCCATTTCTGCAGCACTCACTCCCAAATGCTAGGATGGACTCTTACGTGTGGATAGTTTCTCCCAACCTGTGAGATACTTACTTTTGTTATTATCCCCACTGCGGCAATGAGAAACTTGGGCTCAAAGAAATAAGCTGCCCAAGGTCACAGCTCATTAAGGGTGGAGGACAGGGCCCAAACCCAGGTGTGATTTAAAGTCAGCATTCTTAACTGCCTCACCAAACTAAATGTGGAAAAAAGGAAAGAGGGATTAGCACCTTCGAAAAACAATAGTTTTGGAAAATCCAATCAAAATTCATTTTCTAATGAAGTTATTGCTTAATAAATGAAAATATTACATAAAGAGCTGCCTAGTGCTGCATACAGCAAGGAAGCGTACTTTAGTCCTGACAACTCCATGACTCAGAAGCACAGTTTAACAGTGATATAGGGTCGACTCCAGTTTCCACTGACACAATATTTATACTTTGTGACTTATATAAACAAAATATCTCTCATGCCTCCCAACATCTACCACAGCCCTGTGAAACCTACAGTTAGAAATCTGAAAATATTTAATCTCATGACCACACGAAGAAATGAGCCAACCATCTAAGACTGACTGGTCACCAGTCCCCAAACTGCAACCTCCAGCTCACTGACCAACAGTCCCACTGTGTCTAAATCCCAGATGGATAATTCCTCCAATGTAGGATCAATTTTTAAAAATTAATAGAATTGAGAGCCCAGAAATAAACACTAACATTTATGGTCAATTAATTTCTGACAAGTGGGCCAAGTTAATGCACTGGAGAAAAAAAACAGTATTTTCAATAAACAGTGCTAGAGCTACTGATAGATACCCAAATGCAAAAGAATAAAGCTGGACCCATTCCTTATACCATACACAAAAATTAACTCAAAAAATGGACCAAAGACCTAAACGTATGAGCTAAAACTATGAAACTCTTAGAAGAAAACACAGGACTAAATCTTCATGACCTTGGGTTGGACAAAGCATTTTTTAGACACAAGATATAGCAGAAGCCAGGAAAGAAAAAACAGATACACTGGACATCAAAATTTTAAAAATTTTATGTTGCAAATGATGCCATCAAGAAAGTGAAAAAATAACTCACAGAATGAGAAAACATTTGCAAATCACATATCTTACAGAGCTGGTATCTAGAATATAAAAAGAACTCTTAATATTCAATTTTGAAAAAAACAACCCAACTTAGAAATGAGCAAAGGACCTGAACAGACATTTCTCCAAAGAAGATATGAATAGACAATAAGCACCTGAAAAGATGCTCAACATCATTAGTTATTAGGAAAATGCAAATCAGAACCAAAATGAGATATCACTTCACAAACTAGGGTGGATATAATTTTAAAAAAAGAAAAAACAGACAATAATAAGCATTGGTGAGGATATGGATAAATTAGAACCCACATACACTGCTGGTAGGAATATAAGATGCAGCAGCCTCTTTGGAAAATGATTTATTTAAAACAGCCATAAAGTGGAAACAACCTAAACAGCCATCAACTGAAAAATGGATGAGTTAAATGTGGTATATACTGCATAAAAAGGAATGAAGCACTGACACATACTACAACATGGATGAACCTTGAAAACATGCCAGGTGAAAGAAGTCAGTCATAAAAGCCACATATTGTACAATTCCATTCACATGCAATGTTCAGAATAGGCAAATCCATAGTCAGAAAGTAAATTAATAGTTGTCAGGGATCTGAGGAAGGTTGGGGAGAAACTGGGAACACCTGCTAATGGTCACAGAGGTGATAAAAATGTCCTAATATTAGACTGTAGTGATGGTTGTACAACTTTGTGAATATACTAAAAACCACTGAATTTTTACACTTTAAATGATTGAGCTAGGGACCTCCCTGGTGGTCCAGTGGTTAAGACTCTGGGCTCCCAATGAAGGGGGCCCGGGTTCGATCCCTTGTCAGGGAACTAGATCCCACATGCCACAACTAAGAGTCAGCACCCCGCAACTAAAAGATCCTGCACACCACAACTAAGACCCAGCACAGCCAAATAAATGATATTTTTAAAAATAAATAAATGGATGAGCTATATAGTATGTGAACTATAACTCAAACCTAACTTTTAAAATTTTATAAAGAATTTCTTTAATTAAAAAACCTAAAATAGTCATTTTTATAAGACAAATAAGGAAGTATCCAAAAAAAGAAAAAAGAGGAAACCTAAAATAATAATTTTAAAAGGCTGGACATTTCTGCTCAACAGAGAAGTAAATGCTTGGGCATTGCTCCAACTCACTTTAAGGATAAAAATAAAACTATGAGGTTTTTTTGAACACCTGTTAATTTAAACAGGAATAAAGTGTCCCCAAGGGCAAATTCCCAGCACTTTGGAGCTGAAATTGTTCCATGTGATTCTTAAATTATCGGTCAGCTATAAAATGCTTTGTAAAGTTTACATTAAGTATTTCATGGATCTTTCAGCGTTGAGTTTTCTTAAGAGACTGCACACTGGAAATGGCTGATTCTCAGTACTGGAGGCTCCCATGCCTCTAACAATTTTCTTGTATCAAAAACAGCCCTTTCAATACTTCCTAGTAACCCACAGCCAGCAGCAGCATCCTGACAAAGACTGATCTGACAGCTTAACTATAATCTTGGCACCCACTTTTATGGGTGGCACACTTTTTTTTTCTAGTTCTATTCACTTCAGTACACTTGAGTCAAGAAAAGTCTACATTTACATATGTAACTCGTGGGTGACGCAGATAATAATAAATTATACCACACATCCTTATCAACGGCGCAACCAAACTGATAATCTCAGTTTCCTGTCTCTCTGGACTCAGGCTTCTTGTCACCAGAATTGGCTCTTAATTATTCAACTGGACTGCCTCTGGACTACCCACAAAAAAAGCTTACAAAATGCATACGGGAAACATATCTAAATGAACTCTCTCACCTTAAAGCATGCTTTTCCTTCTCCTATCAAACACATAACTTTATCTAACTAGCTTAGCTTAAGCACTCAATATGACACTTTGAGCAACATTTAAAGTAAACTACATCCAAAATACAACCTGCTGTCTGTATGTCAAGTTTTGAATGCATGTTATATAAGTCAAGGTGGTGCTGTGGTAGAATCATCTACCTTGCTTATCTGTGTCCTTTTTCATTTCCGTATGTACTACTGGAAGTAGGATTCAGTCCATTTTGCAGTTCTAAACTCCATGGAAAAATTATCAAGGCCAAACCACCAAGTGGTTCTTATCTGGGCAGCACCATCCTCCCTCTGTGGCCTTGTGGGTTGCTGCTTATAAAGGTGGAGACTGTTTTCACAAAGACTAGTGAGTGCTACTGATATCTAACTGGCTTAGCTTAGGCACTAAATCCTAATGTTATCAAGCATACTAAATACCAGCTCAGGACTCCCTCAAGAGAAAGAATTTCTTCACCCAAAATTCCAACAGCACTGCCCCGGGGACCCACTAGCTAAAGATCATTCCTCCCAAAAGCCACAACTCACTTAATTAGTTATAGCTTTTTCTTTAACTCTTCTAATAAAAGCCCTATAGAATAGATACTTTTTTTTTTTTGATCAGGAGCTCCCTCCCTATTTTCTCTTAGTACCTCAAGCATTTTTTATTACTATCAGAGTCTTAGAAAGATCGGGAAGAGGGAATGAAAGGACAGTGCTGAGTCGGGGAGAAGGGGGGCATCTCTCTAAAATCTGGGAATTCGGTCAGGTCAGACTCACAATGAAGGGGAAATGGGATAAGCATCAGCCTCTTCCAGCGCTCTGTGCCCTGCTTTCTTTCTGCCATGTCACAGCAGGAAAATGAAGTCAGAGACTCAGCTCTGCTGCACCTCTAGCTTCCAAGAAAATACAATCCCATGACAACCCTCATCCCGCTCCTCCCCCCATCATAAGGAAATAATTTACTGCTTCATGCTTTTCAAAGCCTGCAGCCAGAAGCCACTGCTGGGTATAACAATTTGCATAGAGCGCCTCATTGGTTAACCAGCTCAATCTAAATGGCCTAATACCCCTTACTCAGCAACCTGCAACTTTCACAAACTACATGGCTTGGTAAGAAATAAAAAAGCACATTCTAAAAAACTGCTTTCTGCTAAAACCCATGATCCACAGATGAAGCAGAACTTCCTGGAAAAAAAAAATTCAAACAACTGCTTGGGAGTTTAAGAGAAGAGAGAGGACAAAAGGTTTAAACTGATGTTACTGCAGCAAAATACAGTGGGAAAAAACCAATGTGAGATTTCAACCATAAGATTATGTTTAAAATCTGCAGCCATGAGCTCTCTGTTGAACTGCAGATGTCTTCAGAAAAAGCCCAACACTCACCCATTCTCCCTCTTGTCATTTACCAAATGTCCACTGTGTACAGGCCACGGGGGCACACCAAAGGCCAGGGCAGCAGGCCAGGGTGGCAGTCCCTGCTGCACACTGATTAGCCATGTGAATCTGGAAGAGGGCCTGAGCTCTGAGGGCCTGTCTCTTCAATAACATGAGAGGGTGGACATGCCACTCCCTTAAGGATTCATCTAGCTCCAGATGATGACGGTGCAACTGACCAGATTCTCACAGTCCATAAGGTACCTGAGAATGGTAACCCACCAAAGGAGTGACAGGCATCACTCACATCAGAAATCTCATGGCCAGCAGTGAGACTTTCTCTGGCTTGCTGCCAACCAAAAACTTCCCATGATGGTTCTAATTTCAAACTGCCTGACCATCATCCTTAAAAACTATTTGGGAGTGCTAGAAGTTCCAATAATTTGGCTTCCGACTGAAACTTCTCATACCCAGAGGTACAATTCCCCTCTGTCAGCATGTCTCAATTTTCAGTTTAAGG